TTGTGTCCTCCTGAGTGTCATATTTTCATTTAATTCTAATAGATTAAGATTATTTTTTATACAATATGATCAAGTCTATTTTGGTCTATCTCTGCCTTTCTGAACCTAAATCAAATCCAAAATGCCTTCTCCCTTAACCAGATCATCAAATGGTCAACGTTTAATGTGGCCAAATCATCTATGACGACTCTTTTTAATATTTTCTGCTATCAAAACTTCACCAACCCTTTCATGGATAGATTCATTTCTGATTTTGTCTCTAAGTGTCAAGCCACTCATCCACCAAAGCATTTTTATCTCAGTAACACTTAACTTTGTTTTATGCTTATCTTTTAAAGGCCAACATTATGCACCATAAAGTATTATAGGTCTTACCATCATCTTATAAAACCTTCCTTTAAGTCTAAGCGGTACTTCTCTATCACACAACATACCTGATGCATTCTTCTACTTCAACGAACCAACTTGAATTCTAATAATAACATCCCTGCCTATATCACCATCACTCTAAAACAAAAACATGTCGACACCTTTCTTCTCTAGAACTCTCCAAAGGACTTCTCTTGAATCCTTATCATAATTTTTTTTCTAAATCAATAAAAATAATATGTAGATCCTCCTTACTCTCTACAAACCTTTCGATAATTGTCTAGCTTCTATAGTAGACTTAGCCAACATAAATTCAAACTGTTTACGAGAAATCATTCTATCACATCTTAACCTATTTTCAATTACTCACTCCCAAAATTTTAAAGTATGACACATCAACTTAATTTCTTAATAATTTGCACACTCTTGTGCATCCCCTTTATTCTTAAAAATGAGGACCAAAATACTCTTTTTGCACTCCCCATGCATTTTTTTGTTTTTAAAATAATTTTAAAGAGTGTAGTAAGCTAAGAAACTCTTAGTTCTCTTAAATATTTCCATACTTTAATTGAGATTTTATCATGTCCTACTGATTTTCCATTCTTAGTTTTCTTTAAAGCATCCTCAACTCTTTTTTACTAATTTGACAGTAAAAATATAATATTTTATTATTATCACGATATTAAGATCACTAAGATTCGTCGTATTTTCAGAAGCTTCATTGATAATTTTATCAAAATAGTCCACCCACTATGTTGAATATTTATCTCTAAGAAAAAATATTTTTTGATTTTCATCTTCAATGCACTTTACAAGAATTAAATCTTTAATTTTCTTTTTTTCTTTGTTTGACTAGTTAATACATATATTTTTCACCATTTTTAGTATCTAATCTATTATAAAGATTACTAAAAGAAGAATTTTTAGCATCACAACTTGGTCTCTTAAACTCCCTACAAAAACCACCTTATATTTTTCTCAATTTTCTAAGCTTTTACATTTAAAACAATTTTCATAACACAACTTATCGTTATTCCATTTTTGCACGCTATTACTCCATCATCATCTTTTTTTATTGATAAAAACTTTTTTTTATATTCTTCAAGTAAATCTTTTGTCACTTGTTTAATAATGCTTATCAGCTTATCTCAAATAGAATTAGCTTCTTCACGAACATTCCAAATCTTGAAATTCGGAAGTTTATTCATTAAAATAGTTTTAATTGTCTTTTAGGTGCCCCCATCTAATCTTATGACAATATTTCATTGTATTCCTAATCTGACTGCTTCTCATCTTAAAATGCAAAACTAATAATCAATGTTGAGTACTTAAATTTTTCATTTGGAATAACCTTACAATCTTTACATTCTCAACAATCTTTTTTTCTCATAAGAAAACAAACAATTTGTTTTTTTATTAGATTCATTCTTAAAAGTAAAAATATGCTCATCTTTTTTTCATAAATAAAGTATTAGCAATAACAAAAGCTTACATTAAAATAAAATCTAATATGGTTCTACTTTCTTCATTAATCACTTCAAAAAGATAGCCACCAAGAATATTTATAAAATCTTCTATCAATCTACCAATATGTCTATCTAAATCTCTTCTAGTAAAAATTCTTTCGTCAAAGTTATCATTTTTATTAATTTTTTTGGGTCATTCTAGAATTTTTTTAGAACATTTATCTAAACCCACTTTAGTAGTATAAGCTCTTATAACATTAAAAAATTTAGTATCGACAACATCTTTATGACTATAATTCTATCTCAAATTATATTAATTTTTACAATATTATCTTTCAAACTCTATTATCTTTCAAACTTTCAAACTCTTTTCTATAATTACACCTAGACTATTTCTAGTCCACTTCTTCCCGAATGCCAAAGTTTAAAACTTAAACAATCAGTCTCTTTAGCATTTCCTCCAAACCATGTAGTTTCTTGAATACATAAGATGTTTATCTTCCTTTGAATCATAATATCTATTAAATCCATTAATTTACTTGTGAGAATACCTATATTTCATGATCTTAGCATAATAGTAGTTTCATGGACTAATTCCATGAATATTTGACTTCAAGAAAAAAAAAATCTTTAGAAATGTATTGGCATATTGATTATGAGAAGCATGTATATGCTAATATTTGAGAATCAATTAGATGTTTAAATTTGTATTAATCACAGTAGAGTAAACCTTTTGTGTCATAAACTTATAGGTGTACATTAAAAATGTGTCAATGTTGATTTTGAGAAGATCCAACGGTCCATAAGGAAGAAAGTACAACAAATGAGGGCCCACTGTCAGAAGACCAGGAGACACACTTTTCCTACCAAATGCAATAGTCCAAGCCAAAACAAGCAAGATTAAAGCCAACCAATTCATGAAAATGACCAAATGAACCAAATCCAAACCCGTCAGACTAAAATGAGATAAGGTTCTGAGCTAATTACTAAAAAAAATCTAGCAAGTGCATCGACCTACCTCTAGTAGATCCAACTCGAATAAAGAATCCAGTTCCTTGACATCACTTGTCATTTCACATACACCCTCAAGGATTCCATAACAGAGTCCAAGAATTGGCCATAGAACAGAGTCTCACTATCATATCGAATGACTCCTGATCCTGAAAATTGTAGTTGTGTAAAATTTATAAAGTTGAGTCCGCTTGGCAATGGTGTCATAAACTTGATGTGGTATTTTATGGATAATAATGTTAAGCACTTAAAGTTGGAATTCTAGGCAAGTATACGTATTGTTATCAAGTAATATAAGATTTTCTGTTTAAGTCCCAAATAGTTTAAGTCCGTTTAAGTCCCAAATATCGATCCCACGGGGAATGTTTAAATTTGAAATGATAAATTAACTAGGATATTCACAGAAATCAATTGAAATTACTGTCACTAGTTTCGAATGTTTAAGATATTAACAAAGCTAAATTGTTTACTACTAGCAGAATTTAAAAGAGGGCTTAAAATTAATAACTATTAAACTATGTTTATGTGATGACGTTTTCTAATATCAATGAGCATCTTTCTCACTACAATGAGTTTTTTGTAAAATGAGATAAGATAAATGATTTAGATTTGTATTTTGTCAAATATGAGTAATTTTAATTCTATACTCTGATTCAGTATTATAGAAAATCTTTGAATATATATGTACATGTTGTCTTACCTATGCATAAAAAGGTATATTTCACTTGTACACGTTAAAGTAAAAGTTTTTATAGTATGTATCTAAAAAAAATTTCTTTAGACACTTTTGGGGTGATTGGTAGCCCTATTTTAACAGGATTACTGTCTCAATTTCATGTAAATTTGTCAAACTCGAATTTTGGGTCGCTAAATCGATCATCCGCTAAATCTAATATTTCATGTGCCATAATGTAAATCCCATATTATAAAATCTGTTTCAAAAGTTGGATTGAAAGGATTTAAGGAGAGTTGAAATAACAATGTGTAAAATCCTTATAAAGTGCCAAACATAATAGATGAATTTAAGCAGATTTAAGTTAAATCATATCAAACATTTTATTGGATTTAATAGCACCGGATTTTATAAATCCAGATTTATCGGATTTACTAAATCCAATGTGCAACCAAACACCCCCTAAACTAAATAAGTATAAAAACATCTCCAATAAATGAAGATATAATCATCTCATCTCCAGAATATTCAAACACGAGCAAACAAGAGAGTTTTAAATTGTATGCAGGAAAAATCTCGAATGACATCCAAGATAAAAGGAGAGAGATGTATCACAAGCAGAGAAGCCGATTTTCCCTTGTTGAAGAAACTAACAAATGGCACACGCTGCCGATGGAAGAGATCGGACGGAGTACACGGAGGGGGATCACATTGGCGAAATGAAAATTAAAGGGAGGAAATGGATAGTGAAACTTGGGCAAAGGAGAAACCAGATGTGTGATATAGGTCTTAGTGAGGTGAGCGAAAATAAATAGGCTACGACAGCGCTTATAAGTGTTGCAAGTTTGCTCTGCAATAAATTAAAAAGTTCGTTGGCAGTGTGTAGATATCCACATGAAGAAAAAATTGCTAGACTACCAAAAAAAATGAAAAGAAAAAAAAAGCAGTTCTAATCATTTCTGAGCAATATATCTATATGTATACACAGATATATATGTCTGTGGGAATGATATAGATATATGTGTGCACACAGACACACACACACACACATACACATGCATGTAATTCCCATGAAAATAATTATTCATATATAAGACTCGTTCTGCCTAAACTTACCAAGCATTTTTAGGGATAATTGTAAATCACAAATCCGAAGAATCAATATACCTATAAATTGAAATTTTTAAGAAGTTTTAATGTTACTTTTCCTTTATTTGGTAAATAAACATAGTTATTTCCCATCATTATTCCTATAAATTGAAGATTTTGACTGAATTTCTACTTCTTGTACAACCGCATTTAAAGAACATAATTAATTCCAAATTAATAAGGCATGAAGTTAGTATTAATATTAGAAAATTAATCATAGAGCCCATCATCAGCAATCATAAGTCAACAGTTTCTGAAACAGGGAAATACCACAGGCAATATATATAACATTCATCAACTCAAAATATAGCACAGTCTACGCGGCATACAGACAAAGATTAAAATCACGTACAGAAGGATTTATACCTTATGAAACACGGATGGTATTATTAAGCATCCCATATCCCATTTAACGTAGAAGCTCACCAAGAAGAACTATTTCATCTATATTTTCAGTAAAGATCATATCCCTTTGATCCTGAAAGAAAGTCTCCACATTGTCATTATAGCCACATATTGCAATCGATCCATCGCCGCTGAGCTCCTCATGATTTATGTGAGATGTAATAAAGCATTGCTCTTTCATCTCTGCCAAATTCTGTAAGGATGATTTCATGATTAGCTCATGTGGCTCTTGATTTCCTTCTCTGCCTTCCAATTGTTCATAACACTGAATCATCATCATCTTCTTTTTCTTCTCCAAGGTTCTTTCTCTTGCTCGAGCCCTTGCTTTGTCTCTGCACTCCCTGGCTACCCTAAGCATAGCCGTTGTCCTCTTTGACGCCTTCGTCTCCGCCGCTGCCGGTGACTTGCGCTTGTTTTCACAAATAGCGGAGCTGCGTTCTTCGCACTCAGAAGTGGAGACTTTCCCCTTGGATTCGGCCATGTGTTCTTTAATAGCTGCCTTGGACTTGTTGAGCAGCCATTGAACGGTATTGCTAGCCTTGTCGAAGGCGAGTAGGTCCTGGAGGTCAAAGAATTTGCGGGCGACATCTAAAGAAAGCCTCATCCTTCTATCTCGCGGCCCCTTTGCTGTGTAGATCTTTTTGTGCCGGTCTTTTCTTAGAGGTCTCGTGCGGCTGGAGGCTGTTTTCTCCGGTGCTGCTATTGCTTCTGCAGGTAGCAGTTGTGATGGCTCTGGAGGATTGTTTTCCGCAGCGGCAGAGGTGGAGAAGGAGAAGATGTCATGGAGGCTCCCATAGTTGAGGGTAGGAGGCGAGAATGGGAAGAAAGAAGAGTAGATATCATTTGATTGAGGAAACATAGTACGTAGCATAAGTCATGCATAGTACGTAGCATAGAAGATGAGGAGGAGGCAAGCTCTACCACTAGCTTGGTAGATAGCTTCACCATTCATCCATCTTAAAACTCAACAAAGGATTGACCATGGTAAGAGAGTGTCCAAGGTTTGGCTTGTGAGTGTTAGTTGGCGAAGGTTGCGGCCTTAGTAGGAAAGGAAGGACAGATTTGCGGGAGAGGCTGGGATGGGTGAAAGAGAATTCCTGCCAACTATTATATGCATCATTTGGCATAGGCTTTTAGTAAATGTATGAGAGAGAGAGAGAGAGAGAGAGAGAGAGAGAGAGAGAGGGTGTGTAACTAACCGGCCATTTGGGGAGGTGGTTATAATGTGGTGTGGTCTGGGGTCGTGGTTTGGGATACTTGGATTCTTCGATTACGGAAGCGATTTGATAAATCTAATTAAAATGCTGACCGCTGGTTCGACCTTGCGACCCACATTTCTTTGATTTTGTTTTACGTGACTGCCCTTTTGTGTTCCTTCCACCGTCGCCTTCTTGTTCCTCTACAGCTCCCTTGGCACGATGATTGCCCTAATTTCTCTTCTCTTGATCCCCTTGATTCGTGGCTTTGGTGGCTAGGTGTTGTTTCCTGTTGCCTCCTATTGGATGTGGGTGGTTGCTCCGGTGCCCTTACATACTTTTTCCCTCTCTTCTCTTCTCTTTCGCTTGATTTGGTGGTTATGTGCACTCTGTGTTATGTGTGGTAGTTTCCTTTCTTCGGTTGGTGGCTATTGTAGTGAGTTTTCTATTCTCTCCTTTCTTGTCCCTTCTTTTCTTCGACTCAAATTGGTGGTTGTGCATATTATGCACTCTATGCGGTAGTCCCTCTTTTACATCTCCTCTTTGTTCCGGTAATCTTTACTATATCTATAAGGTGGCTTTATGATTTTGCAAATACTAATGTGTAATGGTTCTCAGTTTGGTTGTTGGTTTCCTCTCCCCTATTTTCTCTCTTTGCTCAGTTTGGTGGTTTTTAGTTTGATATGCTCGGTTAATGATTTTGATGCTTCATGTTGCATACAGGATGGATTTGATTTATGATTATGATTTGCTCGGTTGTGATACATATCATCCGAGCATGTCATGGATGATTTTGATTCAATATGATGCATACATAAATATCGGTTATGACATCCTCGATTGATGATTTTGATGTTTTATGTTGCATCCATGATGCTTGATTTAATGCTTTAAGTTGCATCCATGATGATCGGTTTGATGTTTTATACTTTATGTTGTATCCATGTTTAAGTGTGCTCAGTTATGTGGATCTATACTTTATGATGCTTGGTTTGTATCATACAAATGTTTTATGCTTCGGTTGTGATACGCTCGATGGTGATGGTATTTGCATTTGAATATTTTAAACACATATGGTGGTGGGATGGTTTTGGATGTTCAGGTGAGTGTAGGTGCTTGCCTAAATTTTGGATGAGGTGTTTAGTGTTGCTAATGTGTGTGTGTGTGTGTGTGTGTGTGTGTGTGTGTGTGTTTGGTGTGTGTTTGTGTTGGTGTGTGATGTGAGCAGTCTGTGGTGTGTGGAGGTAATGATGGTGATGTGATGTATGAATGTGTATTACATGTTGGCTCTTAGAGTTTGACATGGGCAAATGTGTGGATGTGTGATGTGTGGATATGTGGTGTCTGGATGTGTATATGTTGGTGGATGTGTTTGTTTGTGGGTGGGTTGGCGGTGAAATTTTTGAGGTTGTTGGTGATTGTGGATGTGTTTGTGTGTAGGTATTGGTGATGCTAAATGTGTTTGTGTGTGGAAAGACATTGTTGATGATTTGTGACATTCTTTTTTTGCAGCTCTCAGGGTTTATGCTAATTATTTAGACATCTAGTTTTACTTGAGAGATTTGCATTTCTCGTTATATTTTATATTTATTTCTATGATGTTATTTGCTTATGTTGGTTTTGTTCATAACCTTATATGATTATAGTTAATTCATTAATTTTTTTGTGTTAGCTACTTCAATACTAAAATACATGGATGCAACTAAAGAAAGGCACAGAACGAGAGTTGCAACTCTAGTATGCTTGATGTACGTTTATTATAACTCGTACATAAAACACTCCCCTTGCATGATATCCTTATATGTTGGCGACAAATGGCTTGAGGAGTTGCTTGCAGGACACCCAACGAGATTTAACAATATGTTTCGCATGCACAGGCAATATTCAATGATATGTTTGATGAGCTACACAGAAATCATGAACTTCATGACTCATTCAATATGACTTTATGAGAGGTGTTAGTAATGACTCTTTACATATTATCGCAGAATGAATCAATACAAGGAGCTATGGAGCGATTTCAACATACTTCTGAAATGATTTACAGATACTTTTAAGTAGGGAGGAATGCACTTGTCACTTTTTTTTCACAAGTCATAAAGCCAACAGATCGTACATTCGAAGAGACCCCACAGAGATTTCGTAGAATGTGTGGTATATGTTGTACTTTGAGATAATTTTTTCTATTTACTTTGTTCAATTTTCATATGAATATCATAATTGTGTAACTCATCGTTATCTTTCTAAAATTATATTAGAGTAATCGACAGAACACACGTTGATGAACATGTTCAAAATAATGAGAATAGCATATTCATTAGTCTTTGTGGGTCTCCGACGTAGAATGTTAATGCGATATGCAACTTCAACACGTGCTTCACTTTTTTCATGACTTGTTGGGAGTGCAGTGCACATAACAGTCAAAGTTTCAAATTTGCAACAAGAATAACCAATACAACTCACCACATCCACCTACAGGTTTGCTTGAGGCTAAGCTACTCTCCTATTTCTTTTCTCCTTCAATATTAATCATTCAATTCATATTAGGTAAACATTATTTGGTCGATGTTGAGTATTTATTGTAGTGAGAATATTTTAAGCTCTATCCTGATATGAGATACCACATACCTAATTTTGAGCGAGCCCGCAATGTCACGTGGGGTAAGAAAGAATTGTTAAACAAATGACATTAATCTTCCGTACGTAGTGTCATTAAGATAACTTTTATTGTTTGAAAGAAGAAATGTGTTATATTTCGCAATATGTCATCTTACCAATTTCCCAAACAGTTGCAGATTATGGTTGTCACGATGGCTTTCCACAATTATATTTAGTGGCATTCTTTCAACAACAACATCGACTTATGTTGAGCGGAAGATTATTATGCACATGTCTCTACTAAGGCATATGAGTACCGTCTTGGATAATCTTTATTACAGGTCAAAAATGATGTTCTCCAGACCTGCACTCTGGATGAGGAATGTGCAATGGAGATGACAGAGTTGAGAGAATGAATTACAGATGCGTTAGTTGGAGGGTGATTGGAGAGAAAGTTAATTTTTAGTTTTGCTAATTGTAATGGTTGTTGAAAATATTCACTGTTTATTGTATTAATATTTTATACAGTTTATGTTTATTTATATTCCTTATGCATTTGATATTTACTATTTTGTTATTTTATGCAAGTTGTATGTATTTTTAATTCAAGCATTTTTTTTCCTTTAGTGGGTTTTAAAGGTGATGAGACATTTGACATTATGAGTTCTTCTGGATGACTCACATATCTCAGTTGGAGTCAAATGGGAAATCCTGATATAGGCAACCATGTTCCTCTATTTTTTCGGTGTTATGATTTTTTAGGTTCTTTTGGATGACCTTTTTTTAGTGATAAGCATATGTGACACACACTAACTTGGTATTACGTGGGTTAAAGACAACTAAGAACCTTTTTTTATAAGGTCTTTTGTCTTTTTGTAGCAACAGATTTGTTGGTTTATATACTGTGTTATCTGATACCTCATAGATGTATAAAATTTTAATTAATTACTTCTGTTATTAATTTTTACATGTGTTATGTCTAAGGGTATTTTTGTTTAAGCCTTCAGGAAAGATGAGCTCGAGGATTTCTGATACCTCCAGAGGATTGCACTTCTAATGTGTACTTTAATGTTCCCAACTCACTTCAAGTCAGTCGCATAGCTACGGAAGACAATTTTATAAGTGCCCACGAAGAATCATGGAAAATTGTGACTATTTTCGGCGGACAGATAGACTGAAAGATTTCACCGCCGAGAGTGATCGAGCTTTAAGAGTATTCTGGAGGATATTTTAGCTCATGAAATACGTCGTCTGTAACTTAAAAATAATATTATCATGTTATAAATTAATGTTTTAATAGTCTTTTTCTTAATTTTGATAATTATATTACTCACTGTTAAGTGAAGTGTCTATCTTTATTTTATACTATTTTGTATTAGATATTTATTTTTAAAGTATAAAATATATTGGTATGAAAAATTTTGTAACACAACTATTTTTAAACCGTAAAAAAAAATAAACAAGTACCTTATCCGCTAGCACTTCTGTTACAGTTGTATCAAACAGACCTAACTGTCTGGGTGCTAATGGTTTAGTTTAGGTAAAAAATTTAAAGTTGGACTCTAAGATTTAAACAAAAAGACAACAAGACTGAAGAGCGAATGATAAGGCGACACGTACATCTAGCTGGCGGAAAACCTGGTCTTTGCTTAAGGATTTCATGGCCAAAACTGTAAAAGCATTTTGACAGATAGAGACAGCACATTCGAGGCTGGAGAGAAAGAAACAGACGCAGAGAGTCTTGTTTTGACGCTTGTAACTAGGCACATGGCGTGTCTATTTCACAAGCGAGAGAGAGAGAGTATTTAATGGCTCGTAGCATTTTTGATGTTTGTATGTACTATGTTGATTGCATATTTTATCATCTGATTGAATGCAATCTTCATTTGCATTGTTCCTTTCGTAATCATTTTTAAAAATTTGCATACCTAATCAGTAGTAAATTCAATCGAAACGTTTTTGCATTTTTATTTGAAATATCAAGAGAGATTGTATTGATGAAGTGAAATGATATATGATGCTTTTTTCATTTCTCGAGTAGGCATTCATGTAGGAGGGCTTAGGTTCACTGTCGAAACGGGTGTTGATACTTATGTCACTGCATGCATAACATGCTGCATGTCAAACACATAAATAAATCATCTTTATAATAATACTTTTTATTATTATTATT